AATACAGCTAGAACCACTGTCGAATGTGCAGAGTGCAGAAAGCCTCGAGTCGTGTATAGTAGAAGTAAATTATCTGGACGTCAACAAATGCAGTTGGTATTGATGATCAGCGAGTCTGATTACACGTGTGGATCTGCAGTCACTCCACCTGATCATGCGCTGGCAAAAGTGGTCTGCATTAATACTGCCATCAACTGTTCAGTGCCAATTGAGATACCATATTACAGTTCCAAATTGTGGAGGATGGATATCTGCAGCAATTGTGGAAATGGAGATGCAGAAACTGATCCTGACCTAACCAAACGTTACAAAACTGTGTTACCATTATGTAGGGACTGTGTTAAAATGAGAATTGTGCCTGTTTGCCAGCGACCTTTTGGCAAGGTGGCAAAGCTGAAATAATTCTACTTGTTACCAGCAAGTTGTGTCTCGTGTGCCAAAGCGATACTAACAGGTTTTGAGTTCTGAAACAGTCAGAATGTTTTATGTTTTAGGGTTATTTTGTTTAAATTTTTGATGGGGAAAAAAAAAGAAAAAAAAAAAACTTTGTCCGACCTACCGACCCTATGCTGAAATTTCTTGTTACCGGAAACACTTTTCATCTTTTTAGTTCGGCCTTACAACATAGTCAAAGAATGAACCTGAAGCTGTGGCTGAGAAAAGAAAGTCTGCTCATGTGGCTCCTCCTGAGTGTATTGGACAGTTTATGAGCTGCTGTTCAAAAAAAGTAGCAATTTATGAATCATCCTGAGCGTGAGCTTTTGGCTTACTAGACATGTCCTAGAGAGAGGTTGTCCCAGTTTCCCCTTTCTTGGTGATAGAAATAGAGAAACATGTCTGGCAGGACGAATGTATCGCCTGTTTTGTATTAAAGTTCTTCCGCAGGTGAGGCGGGTTGTGTGTGTCATTCTTTCCTCTGCCGTTATAGCAATGTCTTTTTGGTTTGTTGATTCTGGAAATAGTCAGATGCAATACTACTGCTGCGTAGTACCGCTCTGTCAATAGGTGAGAACTTTCAGCGCTGTTGCTTTGTAGCCTATCGCTGTTTCTTAATATCAAGAATGCAGAGTAGGTTCATTTGAACGCTGCTTGTGCCGCCTTCCTGAGAACAAACTCAAGTATAGTTGTTTCGAACAATAGTCTCTTTGTACTGTATTTTCCGGACTATAAGTCAGTTTTTTTGTAGTTTGGCTGCGGGTGCGACTTATACTCTGGAGCGATTTATGGGTGAAATTATTAACACATTATTGTATCATTTCACATGTTATTTTCACATTAAACCGCAAGAGGCCGCTCTCGACCTGTGTTGATAAAACCACGATGAGTCTGATGTAAGCGACGTAGAAGAGGAAGCGCTGCATCTTCTACCTCCGGAGTTGGTGGAGTTGCTTTAAAGTGACATAGAGGCTGAGAGGCTTGGATTTAGTGATTTGGAGTGACATTGATGGTTTGGTGAACTTGTTAGCATGTTCTTTATGCTATAGTTATCTGAATAGCTCTTAATATGTTACTTGAACATACCAGGCACGTTCTCAGTTTGTCGTTTATGCGTCATGTAACGTAAGCAATTTGTACACTTATTCAGCGTGTTGTTTTCTATTTTATTTTTTTTTTAAATTGCCTTTCAAGATGACATGTCTGTTCTTGGGGTTGGATTTTATCACATAAATTTCCCCCCAAAATGTGACTTATACTCCAGTGCGAATATGTATGGTTTTTTTGTTCTTTATTATGCATTTTATGACTGGTGCGACTTATACTCAGGAGCGACTTATAGTCCGGAAAATACGGTAATTGGAATGGTTTTAAGTCTTTTACTTGTCAAAACAGTCACTCCTCTAGCATATCAGCCCTCTTCAGTGTATCTTTGCTCCAAAAATTAGTGCATGAGTTAAATTGAGCGGTAATCAGCTTGTCATGCCTGGACGGTGAGGTGCAAGGATGACTCACTCTTCAGTCATGGCAAGTCGACCGATGCTGCATCCAACACTTGCAATAATCAAGATAGTAGATGTTTAGCGATTACATTTTTTTTCTCACTGCACTTGGCCTCCTAATAATACTCTTGCCAGCAGTTTTCAATTTCTTTAGAGCGAAACATAGAGCTAAAGAATGATGTTGACAGAGCAGAAGAAAAAAACCAACTGAGCTGTTCCAAGGCAAGGCTTAGTGTGAACGGAGGTCATGATTTTTTTTATTTTTTTTTTAGATAGCTTTGTTCTCATTCTTCTAATGAATCTAATCGTTTAATTGTATCTGTCTGAGACGAAAATACCAGTAAAAATAAAAGAGGGTAATTAAATTACTGAATGTGAAACATGGGTCACTGAAGGGCCTTGGTCACTGTTTCTTTTGCATTAAGCACCACGTTACTAGCGTCTTCCCTCCTCAGTTGTCAAAATACAGTTTGGTGCTTGGCTGTTTGTAAATACTGTCGGCTAAACCAGGGGTCCCCAACCGGTACCGGTCCGCCGGGCATTTGGTCCCGGGCCGCACAGAAAGAACTTGCCTTAATTCTGTTTTATTTATTTCGGAATACAAAAGATGTTTTATTTTGAAAAACTACCGGATTCTCCGTTACATCCGTCTGTGTTACGCTTGACACACGTCAAGCCACACATGGGTCACTGAAGGGCCTTGGTCACTGTTGTTTCTTTTGCATTAAGCAACACGTTACTAGCGTCTTCCCTCCTCAGTTGTCAAAATACAGTTTGGTGCTTGGCTGTTTGTAAATACTGTCGGCTAAACTTCCATGAACCATGATTTTGCCTCATACTGTATCGATGCTGTATCTATGTCAGGCTGCAGCAAATCTGCTGCTCAAAGACTAGCATCCTAAATGAGCTGAATGGGTAACGCAGCCAATGTTGGCTCATTTAAAAAAAAAAAAGAAATAATAATAATAAGCATTATGGTTCAACAAAGAAACAATGATTTGTCATGAATGCCTCATTCATCCCAAGTTTGATTGAACAATATACAAACTTGGATGCTCATTTCTGTTTTCTCTTCCATCTCTTTCAAGGTTGGTGGTTTGTCAGTACAGCAGAGGAGCAGGGCTGGGTGCCTGCCACATATCTTGACTCCCAAAGTGGAACCAGAGACGATTTGGATTTAGGCACCTCCAGGACAGGGGAGGGTATGTGCAAAGAAACAAACACATTAAAAACATATATATATATATGTATATATATCATAGATGGCAATTTTCCGCGTATCCGCCGTTTTATTTCTTAAATTGATCATTTTTGTGAATCGTCTAAATCCATTGAGAAAATTTTAGGGGCGGGCAGGTACCTTTTC